CGATCACGCTTCAGAAGCTTTGCAGTTTTGAGACTGCTGCATCCCTCTGCAAGATATCTCACTATTTTTGACTTTTCTGAGCCTGTCAAGTCCTTCTTTTGACCCATTTTGCCAAAGGAAAGGACGTTGCCTAATAATTATGCACACCTGATATAGGGTGTTGATGTCATTAGACCACACCCCTTCTCATTACAGAGATGCACATCACCTAATATGCTTCATTGGTAGTAGGCTTTCGAGCCTATACAGCTTGGAGTAAGACAACATGCATGAAGAGGATGATGTGGACAAAATACTCATTTGCCTAATAATTCTGCACTCCCTGTAGATACATGAGCATCTATAGCTCACGTAGCTAAGGGTCAGGGGTTTATCAGTTTCAGTGTCAGTCTGTCGACCTCGATGCTCCTCCCTCTGTGCTGCAGGCTGTGTCCTGCGGGAGAGCGAGTCCACGGTGAAGACACTGACAGCTGCTGATCTGTGATCAGTGGAAACTGAGAGGCTGACAGGAAGTAATTCAGATAATTCCTCCACAGCTGATTTCTAACTGACCTCTGTCTGTCTCACTTCCTACCAATCAGCTGTCAGCAGCTAAAAGCAGCACAGACGTAGATCCATTATAAAATGTGTGTCTGTCGTTGACCACACGGAGAGTTGCAGAGCTTTTTTTTTGTTACCCGAACAGTTGGTCGCACAGGTGCAACCAAATATTTTTTTTTAGTCGCACCACTGAAAAATTTGGTCACTCTAGAGCCCTGTTATTCTGAGCTAAGTTGATCTATAGTGTTACATCATATTCTATAAGGATGTTATGTGTTTGTAGACTTTCTGCCCAGTTTGACCCATTTAGCAGACGTCAGCCTGTTTAAGGCTCTGATATCTATTCTGTGTGACTTACAGCAGTTATGACATGGTCTGATTTTCTCACCCAATAAAGGAATATTTCATATATCAGTCTACAGTCTTCCTGATTGGAGAGCTGGTGGCGGCTGTTTTTAAAAATACCCCTGCCCAGCAGTTGAGGGGCAGCAGCAGACCTGACCCTGACCTCCAAGTCTTGTGTTATTTGTGTGTGGTTCCTCTGATTTACTGAACTTTGTATATAGTGTGTAAATTAGTCTTCACTTGTAAATAGACAGTGAAACAGAAGGGGTGAGCTGTCTTATTATTTCCTTGTACTGTTTTCTCCTGTTTAGTTCAGTCAGGGAGTTAGGTGCAGTCTTTGGTTTTGTTCACATAGGGTTTCAGACAACACCTCCTCTCCTGAGTTAGCTTGTTGTGTTTGTTATTTTGGCCTTTGTTCACCCCGGAGTTAAGTTTTCAGTGTAGACAAATAAAGCACTCTTCACTTAACAGATTGTTTTTTCTGTGTATGGTTTTGGGGACCAGGGCGGGGTCACTTCCTTTTTAACTCTTGTGCTACGTTCCTGTACCCCTAGACTGGGCGTAACAGTATGACTTAAAGCAGTCGTGGTTTGTCTTGAACTAGCTGTGTGCAGGCAGGAAATGGACCCAAACACAAACTCAAGAGAAACAGAATAAAATGCAACTTTATGTACAGAATGTCAAAAAGGGCGAAACAAAACTAAACTGGGAAATACTAAAGCTGGCTTACGAGGAGACACAGAACTGAGGGAGACGCAGACATAAATACACCGAAGGAGAACGAGGGACGTTGGAGCACACAGGGAACACAGCTGATACTGATAATCTTAACGAGACAGGGCAGGAGGAAACACAACGTGACGCACACTGACAAGTGACTATCAAAATAAAACAGGAAGCACAGAGACGCAGACCAGAGAGGAAGAGCACAGACATACCAGGCTGGGAAAATATAGAATAAAAGACAGGAAGAGAAACGAGGCATACACACAGGGGGTAACGACACAAGGGGGAATCTGATAAACTACACTCAACAACCATGAGACAAGAAAACAAGAAAACTAAGAACACGACCCAAGCAACAATGACCCAGAACCCAGTGATGGCCCGCTTGAAGCTGACGCTCCGGTGCGTGTGTCACAAAAATCAACGCGCTGCTTCAGAAGCTCTGTGTCGAAGCTTGATTCACCAGAGTCACGTGATCAGTGACGTCCGAAGCTTCTTTTAGAGCCTAACCGCTTCAGTGTCTGATTCCCTGGTTTATAAGGAAGTGATTTGTGGAGTGTTTTGATGGTGACAGATAGCGAACCACTGATATTTCATTGAGAGATTTGGAGCCAGCGAGGAATAGAGGAGGTTCTGTTGTGTGGGAGTATTTTTAGTTGATTTTGGTCAATGGGGTGGGTTTTCCAGCTTTGTGTTCTTGTTGTTTGCTTTTGTTCTGTGCGTGTTTATTTTATCTGACAACGGGAAAAAGGTAAAATGTCAAAAATCTGCTTCCATAATATAAATATCATTAAATAACTTTAGAAAAACTTCCACTTGACTCTTTACATGTAATGTTGTAAAAATATATATTTTATTGTTTAATTAATCTGAAAATGTTAGTCTGCCAAATGTGCAGCAATTTAATTGCTGATTCAGGTAGACTGTATAACTGCATCTCTACCAGTTTCTCTGCGCTCCAGCCTCCTCTGTGCCATGTGAAGGGATTTTCCTTAAGGCAGGAGAAATTATCTCCACGAAAAGGAACAGGTTCGGCCATCGCACAGTGGAACAAATTCTCTTCTTAAATAAAAATGAAAAAGGGTTACTTTAAATGCATCATGTTTTTCATTTGCAAGTTCATAAGCATTTTCCTTTCCATTTCACAATCAATTCTACCCCCAGGTCAAAAATATGTCTGGGAAAATTTCCCTAATATAATATTATTTATAAATATACCCGTCTAGCGATTAATTGCATGGAGGCGGGACCTCACAGCAGAAGCATACTCCATAATGTGTTGTACATTATTATATGTATATTATATGTAACGTGGTATTTTTCAATTATTGTATTTACCAACATCAAGAAGTCACAAGCAAAGAAAGACCACACCATGGTGCATGTTTAAACAAGGAAAGTTTACTGGTCAAAATTATTTATTAAAATAAAACAACATTTTTGTCACCCCAAAAAATACACGTTTAAAGCAACACAACGGTGGCCCAATATCAGACAGAATTCCACTCAGTAGAGTGGGCAATCATTACGAAGCAGTTGGTTTTATTTTGTGGATTCAAGCTGCTCTTCATATTTTTGGCCACCAGATGTCACCAGAGAGGACTGTGTTGAAAAGCTTCGAGTAATGAACCGTTTTTCAATACACCAGAAGCATCACATGATTTTCTCACCCAATAAAGGAATTTAACTAATTCAAAACAGAAAACAGAAAAAAAGAAACGTCAGCTCACCCCCACCAGACTAATTCATGCACCATGACACGTTTGACTTTGAAGACAACAGGAGGAGACACATGACGGGCTGGGACAATGTACATGAACCCAACACAGACAGGAGAGACAGAATGATAACACGAGGGAGACGAGACCGACACAGAGGACAAGACAGACTCACACAGAAACAAGCAAACACTGAAAGCTAACTAAGACACACTGACAGTGAACACTGGAACGTAACATTTGTCCCAGAGCAAAATAACCCCAAATGCAAAATAATCTCAAAATGCTGGGTCCCTGCGCCCTGACAAACAGAGCACAACGTGACTGTTTCAGGGTTTGCTGTGAGGTCATGAGGTCAGGCTGTAGCAGGATTATCAGTGGCTGGTGTACCTGACTTGTTTCAGTGTGATGGAGCATCAGAGAGCAGACTCTGCTGCTGCTGATAGGTTTGTAGCTTGAACCCATCCGCTGGAACGTTGAAGACAATATAATTACACTGCAAAGCAAGACACAAGTAGGCAAGCTTCTTCATGTTTACTCATGCATGAGGGAGATCTGGCTGGAGCCAAGCGTCGTCCCACCACTTGACCTCCATCAGACTCTCAGCCAGGCTCCCCATAGCACCCCTTTTATTGAGGTTACATGAATATGCATAGGTTCATTAACATATGACGTCTACATACACACAAAGAGTACCTTGCCTGTGTGTGTGTGTGTGTGTGTGTGTGTGTGTGTGTGTGTGTGTGTGTGTACTGCTGATCAAAGGGTCAAACATCCTTGGTCAGGAAGAGGGTAGCCTCCCCCTCACCCTAGATGGTTCACCCTAGATAACACGGTGAGGAAGTCAAGCAGTTAAAGCACTTAGACTAGAACAGATGTAGCTACGTTAATCCTACCATAAAACAATAAGACACGGTATGACCTCTTGTGCTCCCAGAGTGCTGTCTAATACACACAAGGTTTGCAGACTATCAAGGATCAAAACCTCTACCAATCTACAACTAATTACAAAACTCTAAGCATATATAAGTAAATATTTCTAAGCATAAATAACAATCAACAATACAAACCTAACAGCTGCGTCTCGCTTCTGTTTCTGCATCTGTCGAGCTGCAAAACACACAAAGTAAACATGGATGATGCTTTAATTCTTTATTTTATTGGAACACTTCTGCTGCAGATTTGCAAACATCTGTTACTGTTCACTGTTCATGCTGTTTACTGGGAAAGCCTGACAGTCACAGAGACGTCCATCATCATAAACCTGCACATGCAGCTGCACAAACATCTGCACTGTCAAAGGAATATTGTTTTTATATAATGTGATCAGCTTCATGAAATGTATTCTTTTATTCATCACTAAGCTTCCTCTTTCTGTAAGAACATACAGATTAGAAAAAGGGGAACCTCAGCTCAGAGTTCTTAGAATAAGAAGCTATTTGAACACACACACACACACACACACAACACACACACACACACACACACACACACACACACACACACACACACACACACACACACACACATACAAGTATAAATAAAGCACGCAGACAGTGATGAGACGCAGGTCGTGCGTCCATGACTGCCCTCGCGAGTGAAAGACAACTGCAGTGTTTGTGTTTTCTAACTCAGGTGTCTTAGCTGAAGAACTACAGGATGATCCCCTGTCATGCACTAAAGCTGAATCATGTTAAACCTCAATGAGTCTGAAAACAGTGATGATGAGAGCACAGAGGCTCTTTGAGCTCATCCACCTTTCCTCCGGGTAACAGCAGTGATGCTGATCATGATGATTAAGTAGAGCAGTCCAATCAGTGTGCGGACAGTCATGTGCCACAGGTGATCAGCAGCTGGAAGACAAAGAAACATCTGGAATCAGAGCCTCATCCACCACCAGCTACAGTCACTGATCACACAGTTATTCAACTGTATGGAACAACACAACAAGACACAACACACGACACGACAAGACACAACAAGACACAACACACGACACGACAACACACGACACAACACACGACACTAGGCAACACTGTGAACAAAGCTGTTATTTTGGTTTGACTTTGTTTCTTTACGATGTTCATACCGGGGTTTTCCTGAGGAGATATTGTTGTTGTTGGTCTTCTTGTTGTTACCATTGTTATTGCTGTCATTGTTGTTGGTCTTGTTGTCGTTGTTGTTGGTCTTGTTGTTGTTGTTGGTCTTGTTGTGTTGTTGTTTTCTTGTTGTTGTGTTGTTGTCTTGTTGTCTTCTTGTTGGTTCTTGTTGTTGTCGTTGGTCTGTTGTTGTTGGTCTTGTTGTTGTTGTTGTTGGTCTTGTTGTCGTTGTTGTTTTCTTTCCTGTGTGGAAAAGTTAAAAGGTTTAATTCAAGCCAGACAGGAAAAGTCAGTTTAGTGTAAACCTTCAAAAGCTGACTGTAACAGGAGGAAAGTCACAGCGGTCCACAGCAACAACACAATGAGGTAAAGCCAACAGTGTTGTCAGTTTACAGCAGCTGAATACATTATATCCTATAGAACTACAGAAGAAAAAAAGGCCACATCCTGTTTGTGTGATGAGTTAAAATGCTTTGACATGTCAAACAGAGACAGACCATCCAATCAGACATGAAATAACTGCTGCTGATGGAGGACATTCAGAAACTTTCAACCTTATCATAGAATTTCATGTGACATCAGCTGCTTTCACTTTTCTTGATATTATGCAAAGAACACAACAACATTCAACAGAGTTTAATAGCTAGTAAAACAGTCAGTGTGATGTAAAAAGTATTTTCCTGCATGAAAGCATCGCAGACATACTTGTACTCGACTCATCGGACCAGCATTTATTTATCAGAACAGCTTCACATTAATCCTGAGGTAGAGAACAGGTCAAACAGCAGCCTGTCAGTGTGCTCGCTGTGGATGTTTCACTCCTGAACCACAGTGGAGACACAAGCTGATGGTCTCAGTCAGGCTGACACTAACAGGCTTCATGTTTGACGGTCAGAGGTTCGTGTGTCTCACCTCTGTCAGATCTCTGTCCTTTGGTCACAGTCACATAAGCAGCTGGTTTCCCACCACAGTAGTACAGTCCAGAGTCAGCAGGCTCAGCTTCTCTTATTGTTAATGTTTTGTCTCTACGGGAAAAATACATCCTTCTTAATTTATTTCTCCAGAGTCTCGTCTCCATGTTGGAACAGCTGATCCTCCAACATCACCAGGACATTCAGTAAGACGCTGCCTCTCTCTTCAACGCGGCGTCTTATTGTTCCTGTGAATAACAAATGAATGTGTGACTACAAACTAAGATGCATTTTGTATAACGGACGAACACAAATTTTCTCATGTTGTTAGTTTCTTTTTAAAATCTAATTCTCAGAGAAACACTGTGCAGTAAAGCTTCAGCACACACTGTTGTGTTAGTGTTACTGTGTGTTTAGTTGGTCACAGTTTTATTATTGCTCTTAATGATCGCCATGTGTTACACAGCTGTTATTGCAGCTAATACAAGACAGATCAGAAAACTGTTCACTGTTACAGAGGACAGTGAAATGTGTTTTATGGTAACATGTAAAACTTTTTTTGTCTGTGTTTCGTGGCTGATGCAGGACTTCTGTAATAAAGCTCTTTGGCTACACGCAGACAGGAGTTATGGGAGTTAATGCTACACAGAGGCGTCTCCAAAATCCAAACCAATACACACCAGCCACATGGAAAACAGGAATGTCAAATGTTGTACTGGGATTGGCCCTTATTTGTAATGATTATTGTCCCAGAGTTACTTTAATATTTGATGTGGTACTTTGTATTTTTACATTAAAAAGTTAACTTTATATTAACCATGCTGACCACAGATGTGCTTGCAGTTAAAAACACGAGAGGTCAAAAAGCTAAACTAGTTCAGGGTTGTGTGGCAGCCTGTCACAGCTGACACAGACCAACAACCACCAGCACTCACACCTACGGCCAAGTTAGAGTCAGGACTGAACCTAAACTGTGCACGACTCTGCACTGTGGGAGGAACACAGAGGACCATGTGAGCACGTGAAGAGCACGATAACTCCACACTGAAAGGCCTCAGACGGCCCGTGGATCTGACCCCACGGTTAGCCACAGTGCTAACAACCACACTGGTCTCATTTAAGACTAAAAATCACATTTTCAGCAGACATGCATGATTTTAAACAGGAAGGTAAAAAAGTTTGATGTTACCTGATGGGATCACTGTCAGCTCCACAGCTGCTTCATGGTTACAGAAGTATCTGCCAGAGTCTGAGGGAGCAGCTCTGAGGATGAACAGAGACCCGTCAGCCTGTGAATCGTATCGTTTCTGTGGATCATTGATGTGTTTTGTAGTTTTGTCTCCATCAGCTGTAAGTATGTCAGCTCTGCTTCCTCCACTCTCTCTGCTCCACCTCACTTTTACCCTGTAGATAGTAAGGACAGCGCACGCGAGCTGCGTCCCCTCTGTAACTACTTCCCGGGTTAAACCTGCAAAACAAATAAAAAAAATGAGCAAATAAAATGTCTGTGTGGAAATAAAAGTTACAAAGAAAACAGAAATCTGAAAGGATGATAGAAAGATAATCATAGTCAGGATATGATGATGATATTTCATTATAAAAACTAAAATAAAAAACTGTTCATAAAAATTCTTTGGTCAAAATAATTTGTTAAACAAATGAAGGAGTTACGATAGAAATTTGTCTTCATGAAGTGTTTGTTAGTTTGAGCTACACTGACACCATAACTCGACTTCCTGTGATCGTGTGTCTGCTTCACACTTGAACTCGTTTCCTATAATCGTGTGAAATCCCTGAAACTACAAACACCAACACAAATGCACATGTGTGAAAACTATAAAGTATATCAGACATTAATGCAAAGTGTCCCACCTGCTGTGGCATGACCGCTCAGAGCTAACAGGCAGCAGTAGATGTTCACCCACATCCTGACAGGCTGAAGTGTCTGAACTCACAGTGACCACAGTCTGTGTTTGAACAGAGAACAGGAAGTCAGCGCCTCTGTGAACACGCCTGCTCTTCTATTTCTGAGGTTCTGTGGTCAGAGAACAGAACCTCGCTACAGTATAATAATCTGTTACACAGGTTTTAAAAAACTGCAGTGAAAGAAAGTCAATTTAAATTTTTACTTCTGTTAAGAAGCAGCAGCAAAACAGCCGCAGTACAAGAAAGGAGGGAGCGCTAATAGTGACCAGTAGAAAACCAGCACCTTGAAATATGGTGCACATGATTTATTTCCTTCCTGAAGCAGACGAGGGTGGAGGTGGAGTTAGTGGTGCAAATGAGTTTGTAAATGAGATTAATAATCTTTTTCCTGTTTCTTGATTCAGGTTTTGTTGTTTGCTCTTATTTCTTGATGGTCGAGACTAACGAGGTTCAGGTGTGTGTAAAATATATAAAACCAGTGAGATTTTGACAACTGGAGATTTCTAAGATGGTACAATGGAGATGCCAGAAAATATGGTTACATTTATTTAATTATTTATTATGAAATGTGTGTGACTCATTTAACGGGTGAATGTACTGCAAAGATACTGCCCCTCTACACAGTTTTATCTTCTTTATTTGTTTGGTGTGCTTAGCGTTGTTGCTTTATGCATTCAGTTCTTTATTACTGCATGTGTGACCAGTGTTGGTCAAGTTACTTGAAAAAAGTAATCAGTAACTAATTACTGATTACTTCCCCCAAAAAAGTAATCCCGTTACTTTACTGATTACTTATTTTCAAAAGTAATTAATTACTTAGTTACTTAGTTACTTTTTAAAAACACGATTTACAACCTGAAGAGGTGATAAAGCGATAGATCTTTCAGCCCAGTTCTACTTTTTCTGCATAATCCATCATACAAAATGTAATCAAATGGAAAAGTCTCTTTTTTAAAACTTGTTTTATTAGTTTTAATCTTTTAACTTTATGCATCAAGCAAAAATTTAATTATCTGCAACATTCTCTGACTGGAAGAAATTAGTTTAACATTTAAACCTATTTTCTGCACATTCCAGCACATAAAATAAAATATTTTTTGTGTTTACACTCAGTCTTTCAAATAGATGCAAGTAAAACACAGCAGAACATAAATAAAGTCAAAGACTCAGCGGTCCTGTTGCTCTATTTTCACCTGTAAAGCAGGAGTGGGGTAGGCGGAGGTTTACCCTGGTGCAGGTGTGCCGCGGTCAGTGGAAGAATCCGCGAGTTTCTCTGTGAGTTTCCCATTACGTCGTAGCTACTCGGTGCTTGTTGGAAGTTTAGGGGTTTTTTTCGCTGTAAAAAGAAGTTTTCTTCCCACGCACAGCGGACACTAATGTTTTTGTCACTTTTTATGGAATCAAACTCAAAGTAAGGTCAGTACTTCCACGCTTTAAACGCTGCACGCTCATACTCTCTCTGCACTCGATATGTGATCCATTGTTGATCTGCACACAGCTGTTGTCACGAACGTCGCACTCGCTTACGTCACTGTCATGAGACATTCTCGCAAAAAATCACGGTTTTAGTAACGCAGTAACGCAGCGTTCCTACGGGAAAGTAACGGTAATCTAATTACTGTTTTTGCAATAGTAATCCCTTACTTTACTCGTTACTTGAAAAAAGTAATCAGATTACAGTAACGCGTTACTGCCCATCTCTGTTTGTGACACATACTGTGCTCACTGGCAATCCAGCTGGAATATTTTGGTCCCATGGGTGACGCTCATGCAGGCACTGAAACAGGCAGCTTTGGGGTCCTGTTTGTGTGTTTTAGTGCACAGACAGCCGCAGAGAGCAGCTGCGCTAAACTGAAGTGCTCGTGTTTGGTATTTGCAGTTGCAGAGCAAATGAGCAAGTAAAGAAAACGACTCTAAACTTGTGCACAGCTGGAAGTGTCATTTGTCCAAGTGTGCAACAAATTACACATCTTTTTACTTTACATTCCTTTAGATGGTTTTCTTTGTGACTCTGTGTAAACATGAGTGCATGAGATCAGCTGCTAATGTGGTCTGTAAGTGTCGACTATTTTTACACCAGAGTAGAGGAAACCACCACACTGTCTCATTTGTTTCTCACCCTGTGAAGTTCCAGAGAGTTCATTGATGTATGCTATAGCTAGTTTTACCATTCAGCTCAAACCTCAGTGGTTTGTGAGCTTCATGAGGCCCCAACTGTCACGACACAGGCCGTCCGAGGCAGAGTGGACCCA